CCCCCTCAGCGGATGACAAGGAAGATGATTGTCGTTTTGGGTTTTACAATAGGATTTCAGATGGGTGTTACAGGTGTCTGTACCGTTTCAGAGGGTCCTCGTTTCAAGGATCCGAAAAATCTAGAGCCTACATGACCGTGGGCACAATGATTACCTGGGTCAGAGGTATGCTCCTTGATAAAGTAGTAGTGCTCAAGGTCGGGATTAAGTAATTTAAGGCTTACACAAGGTCGGACTTTCTGGTGCTGAGTTGTCAAATTGAATTGAGCTCCGTGCGAGTTTGAGCAAAAGTGCGGCTTCATCGTTTTTGCAATTTGGGGGTCCACGCATTGCAATTGGACTGTACATGATCAGATGTTCACCAGAACTTTAGCTGAGTAGCTGCATTCCTAAGGCGACCTCTTAGGGTCCATATGCCCAAACAGTATATACTTTGCCCTCAAGTACCTATATAGGCATCATAGGGACTACTGTAAGGCCAACTTATCTACTATTTGGGTATATGGGCCCCTAGGCTACGAGGCTTCCGTTAAATTTAGGCTTCTCCCCAAAGCCTAAACCCGAAGCCTTCACAGCCCAAACCCTAAACCTGGCTTTAGATCCCCTGCAAGCCTCTTTATACTAGACCCTCGTTGCAGCCCCTATGGAACCTAGGGTTTAGGGTTTCCGGTTTCGAGTTTCCTGTACTAGTTAAATGCTGTAAAGAGAGGGACATAAGGGTGTAGGATTTAGGGCTTGAGGGTGTAGGGCTTTAGAGATTTAGGGATTTTTAAGGTTTCGGGCTGTAGGGGTTTAGGTTAAAGGCTCTTCCAGGACCAACTTGTAAGGTATTTGGGATTGGGATAGGATAGCATAATATCGTACGTCTTTGTTCAGGTGCTTGGACGCATCAGGGTCGGCGCATTTCTACGGGAGCGAAGAAGTTACAGGCAGGGCGGCACGCGCGCGCATCCACGAGACCGAAGCCATAGGGCTACGGCAAACCCTATACGGCTCCAGTTGCCTTAATAATAGGTCGGTGGGGTACATAACATATATGGTTCGTAACCTACTGTTTAGGCAACCGAAGCCCCTACGGAAATATGTGAATTAGTCTTTTTGTCTCCCAGATTTCCTGATGTTTGTAAGAATATTATGTAGTTTCGAGGTTCCGTCATGAGATCCGAAACCCTAAACCCACGGTTTAGGAATTGTGGTTTCGGGCAGAGCAGAAGGCAGGGCAGGGGCAGGGGCCTACAGCTACCGTCCCCCTCATCAGCTGTGTACCACGGCCGAGCTCTAGCAGCGCTAGAGGGTGAGGAGGCGGAGTACCTGGCAGCTCTGCCCCCCCAGCTGCAAGAGCTTGAGAGAAGGAACCGTGTCAGGTCAAGTGTGAGCCGGTTGCTTGGCTGGGTCTCGCACGACCGCTTCAAGCGCGATGCCGAGGCTGCGGGGATCGGGGTTGCCAGACGCCGCGAGAGGTCACGGCTGGGGGCCGCAAAGCACCGCGCAGCGCAGCAAGCAGAGGGAGCCACCGGCGGAACGGAACAGGACCCTGTGGCCCATAGGCCACGGCCCTAGTCTGCTGGTCTAGGCCAAGGCACTGATATTCTGAAGTTTAACGTGCCACTGTTTCGATACCCCACACTGGATACCGGAATGAATGTCTCGTGTTTTGGCTGTCGGTGGGTGAAGATTCAGTGTTCATACTGTTTTTTTAGGGGTTGGGGCATCGGGCTTGTATGGAAATGTGGCGAAACCAGCTTCTGATTTTAGAGCTTGGCCGGAGGGATTAGGCAATTTGCGTCGCTGACGAGGGATACGGATACCCTAAAACCTATTCTGGACACCGCCTCAACTCAGTAGCAGCTGATATGGAATGTAGATATATTTGGGCCTTAATATTGGCCGTCGCCCCATTAATAGACAGTTGCTGTATGGGTGCAGTACCCAACCAACACTCTGTTGAGTGCCCAGCGAACCACGGTCACCCAAGACAGGGAACCCGGATTGCCTGCAGGCCTTTGGGTGTTTTCAGTCAACCCCAAGTCTCTGAAACGATCCCCTTCGGTATTGTGCAGATCCTTTAAGCTTGGACTTTAGGCTTCAGAGTGCAGGGTTTAGGATTTAAGGCTTAGGGTGCAGAGTCTTGTTGCAGAGTTCGGGTTTTGTTGGGGGTTAGGGTTTACAGTTTTGAAGAGTCCTTCGAAGCCTGGCCTGGCCCTAAAGCCGAAACCCTATCTAGGCCCTAAACCCTAACCTTAGGGGTATTTAGAAATCATGTTTAATTTTTTTGTTATTATAATCTCTAAGAAACAGCTCAAATTATCATTTTTGCTAGGGTTCTAAGTTCAGTATAGTAACCCATAAACCCTGCACCCCTAAACCCCCTAAACCCTTACCAAACCCACAGGAGGCGCCAAAGACCGATGCACCGACAGAGTCGCCCCCCGAGGTGGTGCCCTCGAACAGACCCTGGGGCGACGGTTGCCTAAATCTCGTAGGAGTCTTAGGGTTTCTAACAAAACGGATGTCTAGTCCAATGCCGAACCCTGAAGCAACCCATGATAGAGGATCCCTTAAAGGACCCCTTGAATGAAGCCCTAGGGATCCCTTGAAGGCTCCCTCATGCATCACTTGCTTCTTGGGTTGGTTCTGCTTTGTTGTTTGGGTTTGGTTTAGCGTACCATATATACCTATGTAATGTCTAACCCCCCGAGACGCTGTTCTAATTATTGAGGCCCCTATACCAATCCCTCATCCTGAAGGACCAAATGACCCTCAAAAGTCGGGGGGGCTTATACCCATATACTGTGAATCCCTATATGGTATATGAACCTTAAACCCTTTTGGGGTTAATTTCGTCCTTAAGGATTGTGTCCCTTGCAATGATGGCCCATACCGTGACATGAGTTTCAAACTCACGGGGAGTGTCCACCAACCACCCGGACCCTGGTCAACCCCCAGAATTGAAGGACTTGTATAAGGCAGATTGAGGACATCATGTTCAAGAGCCCTGAAAAGGCAATTTTGTTTAGGGTTGAGGTAGTGACATACGCCCTAAACAGTAGGATCCTGCCGCAAGCATGCCAAAATACCAGGCATCCCGGATCCTGGTAAGCTCCAAAGCCCTGCAAAAGACAAGACAATTCAATGAGCTCATAAAAAGTTTACAGAACCACAGGTAGGTACCCTAATCTGAAGGACCAAATGACCCTTAAAAGTTGGGGGGCTTATACCCATGTACTATAAATCCCTATATGGTATATGAGCCGTAAACCCTTCTAGTCTTTAAGACCCTAAGACTCTGAACTCAAGACCGTCCCGCACGTTGGCTCAATGCCTTCCGAAGCCTCCAGCCGGCGATTCGTGGTGTGACCAGGCACGGCCTTCGACAAACTTTGGGGTTCAGGGTTCATGTAGGAACCTGATTGAGAAACCTTGGGCCTTTATCAGGGTTCCTTATACGAACCCTTCTATTTTAGGGGTTATAGGCCCAGGGTTTCTTAATCAGGTTCCTACATTAAGGGTTTAGGACCAAGAGCTTTCACAGTCCGGCTCTTGCCTAATCCTTCAGATTGCCAAACTCACATAAACCCTAAACCGTGATGGTTTCAACTCCTAAACCCTCAGTCACGGTTTACAATGTGCTAGGTTCGAAATGTCCAAGGTGTTGGGTTGGGGGGGTCTGTGCGGAAAGCTGCAAGGTATTCGGTGAATAATGTCGGGAGTCGGAGCAAAGTGTAATGACTTTAGTAGCAGTCACCTTGAAGTCTGTTTATAGCTGTAAAGTATCTATAGTATACCACGCCCTGCTTTCAGTGTGATTATTAGTGTAATGATCATCGTTATCATCCCACATTATGATGATTAAGGTTGCTGAGGGCCCTGAACCCTGAACCTCGAAGCCTCAATTGGTTTTAATTACAGCAAAGCCCATCAAGTTGGAAACCCCATAGCCTCAGTCCTTGAGAGTAATGTATAGGGAATCCCAGCACTATTTGGCCTTAAACCGGTTTCCAACTTTATGGGGTTTACTGTACAGGATGCCCCCAAACAGGAACTGCCATGGAGAGGTACACGGTAAGCCCTAAATTTCCCTAAACTCGACCCCACAAACCTTTACTGTACTCGTAAACCCTGAACCTTCTTGTAGTCCTAGGTTCCTGAAAAAGTTACCCAATACCAAAAGGGGAGCCCTTTTCATTCCTAGGCTACTGGGCATCCTAGTTAACTGCTCGTAAACCCTGAACCCTAAACGGGGCGGGTGTAAGCTGATGTCGGCTCGCAGAGGTAGACTTCCTGGCCTATTCAGCTCTAGAACCTCGAGACGGCTAGGTAAGGAAAATAGATGTGTATACATAATATATATATATATATATATATATATATATATGTAAGTGTATCTATGCATTTACATATAACAAGAATATATATATATATATATATATATATGTATATGTATATATACATATATATGTAAATATTCATGTAAGCTTTTGTAATATTCAGTATAGAGCAGTTTAACATTGACGATGTAGCACACCATAGAACATAAGATGATACAACACAGTACACTGCATAACAATAAGAAGTCTGAAGCAAGGCGATATACATATTATGAACTACGGGGTAAGATGGTATGCTAGATCACGGGGTCTGGTTAGTCATAGTGTAAGATAGCATAGTAAATGTGTCCTAATGCAATAGTAGATGGCGCCATCTTATCTTACTTAATTGTTGTCATTTTCTTTGCTGTATTTTCTCAAAATTAATAATATGCTGGCTTATGTCATCTTGTATTTTCATGCGGCCTTACACGATCTTAAAACTCTGTTATCCCAGCGACTCCTCAGCTGCTTAATCGAGGAATGCTCCTATTGACTGGCAGAAGAGGGCAGAAGGGAAAGCAATCAAAACTCAGCCTAAATCCTAAAAACCCTAAAAGCCCTAAAAACCCCAAACCCTAACTCAGCCTCAGGCCCTCCCATCTCTAAGCGGCTCGTGAACTCCACGCTGCAATGGGAAGTGGAGCGCCTCTCACCCAGATTTCCGGGCTAAGATGGCTTAAGTCATAGGGAGTTTCCGAAATTAGGGGTAGCTTATTTTGGGGTCCTTATATAATAAGAATCCTATTATATAGGTAATTACTACATTAGGGTTTCCTATTCTCGGAAACTCCCATATAGTAGTAACATCTAGTATAGGGTTTAGGTTTTAGGGTTTAGGGGCTTTCGGGGCTAGTATGGCGTACGTCCTGTAGTATGGAGGTTCGTTATTGGAATTGGGTTGAGTATGGCCTTGTAGGTTTGTATAGGGCTTTGCATGGTTCAGTGGAGCATGATGTGGTTCTCGCTTTCATTGTCCACTGAAATGGTTTTGTGCCGTATAGGGCTTAGTATTAAAATGCACGGGCAGCTGAACGCGCCCAGCAGTCGGTGTTTATGAGGCGGCACAGGGCTGCAGTCGGATTCCGTGCGGTTTGTAAACCGGCCAGTCGAGCAGCAGCAGGAGCAGCAGCAGCAGCGGTGGCAGCAGCAGTAGCGGTAGCAGTAGGAGTAGTAGTAGTGGTAGTAGTCGCACTGCTACCACTACGTTTATTTCTACTACTACTACTACTACTACTACTACTACTACTACTACTACTACTACTACTACTACTACTACTACTACTACTACTACTAGCAATCTTGCCAGCCGCAGAGTTCCATAGTCGTCCTGAGGTCTGCCCTCGAGAAAGCCTCCACTTCCGATGTGAAAGAGGATGGGTTTAGGGTTTAGGTTTTGCAAGATTCTAAAGGGGTTGACAAGGATGCGTTGCGTTTTGTAGGGGTTTAGAGTTTAGGGCCGTTAAGGGTTCAGTCTCTTTTTGGGCTTTGGGGTTACATAGCTTCACAGGTGCCTAACGGCCTAACGTAGAGTACGGGTTTCAGAGGACTGCACGGGATTGTACAAGTTTCATGGCGGTTCAGGCTTCAGGGTGCAAACCGAGTTCAGATTGGTCACCGCAAGTTTTCGGGGTTAAGCGCAAAGAGAGTTCAGAATGTTTAGCCGGCTTATAGATGGCTGTATCGGTTTGTTAGAGACGTGACAGGTTATGCAGGACGTCTTGATCCTCAACCCTAAACTCTAAGACCTCAGATACCCTAAACCCTAAACCCCTTAGCCCTATAAACCCTAAAACCCGAAACCCCAAACCCTAAACCCCAAACCCCTAAGCCGAAGCCCTATAAACCCTAAACCCCTAAACCCCTAACCCCTAAACCCCAAACCCTAAACCCTAAGCCCCAAGATGCCCCGCTTCTATGATGTAAGGAAAGGGGCTGGTTGGGTTGAGCCTTATAGCGAGAACCAATCTTGAGGTTTTAGGGATTAGGGTCCTAGGGTCGAGGGTTTAGGGTCTAGGGTGTAGGGTTTAGGGGTTTAGGGTCTGATTGTGGCGTAAGGCTTGGGGTTTAGGGCTTACGATTTGGCGTGCTGTACGTCCTGAACCGGAAACCCGTGTCACCAACAACTGAACCCTATACTCGGCACCCTGAACCTTAAACCCACCTACACAAAGCATCCAAGCCGCCAACCCAACAACCTAGCGCATGTAAACAAAAGAGAAGACGACCTACTTGTCACCTTCACGCCACATTAAACGACAAGAACACAAACCCTGCACCTGAAGCTAAAGACCCAAACCTCAAAGCCGCTAAACCCTGAACCCTGAGCCCTACACCTTAAGCCCCTAAACCCCGCAACCAACAAAATTCGAGCTTTCGACTCGGGCCATAGGCCCTCGCAAGCCTGAACGACGAAGAGCAGAAAAAGCTAGCGGCAGAGCTGCAACGTTTCGGATGTCTCTAAGGGCTTCGTTTCAGGACCCCCCTGAAGGGTACCTGCAAGGCTCTCCCCAACCCCCTAAACACTCTATGTGCGGTCTTTGGGTATAGAGCCTCGAAAAAGGCACCCCATCCCCATGTGGGAGTTTCTGAAAATAGGGGGCCCTGATATACTACCCTAAATAGTAGGATCCGTATTATAAGGACCCAAAAAGGGATCCCAATATTGACAACCACCCATGTGGTGGTCATATAACGTTTCCCTCAGGGGTAAAGCAAGCGGATTTAACTATTGTCTCCTTAGGAACTATTTTTTGGGTTTTGTTCATACAAAACCCGAGAGAATATTTCAACACATTGTGTTTATTATGGTTCTAAGCGGGGTATAGTCAAGGTTTGGAGTGTACAAGGTTGACCTTAGCCCCGAATAACCTACCTTTATAGGGCTCCTGGTCAGATTTTCCTTTTCGAAGACATGGAAAAGGTAGGTTTTGTAGGGTACAGGTAGGTTTGTTTTATACTTCAAAGTGTGTTTTCGGGTGTCCTATGCCTCGGAGCCCAACTCCCACTAACTCAGCTCGCAAACTTGGTGGGGTCACCGGCAGGATTTAAACCTCGACCTTACTTACGAATCCAGGGCCTTTTCGGGTTTAGGCATTGGATGGGTTTAGGGCTGAGGGTTCATAGATGGTTTAGCGCTTAGGGATTAGATGGGTTCGGGGTTTAGGGTTCAGGTCGTTTGGCAAAGGTGGCTTGCCTGCGAGCGTCTCAGCTCTTTTTGTCAGCAAAGCGACAGCGGTGTCTCGAACCATGTGTCGCAGAGGCGTATGTCCTGGATACCAGTGCTCAGGGCAAGGAATGCTGAGAGTGCATACTTGATGCTATTGGGCCATGTTCTTGGAGTCGTGCAGCTACTGGCGCAGCCGGCTCATCACAAAACTGGGGGCAACCGGTTGAAGGCACTTGGGCAGCTCCCCTTTCATGTGGCACGCATTCGTGACTTGCTCGGCACCGGTGGCCGCCCTGCAGTGTGCACGACTTACGTGCAGATACCCTTGCTCTGCCGTTCGCACCAGTGCCGCAGGCTACCCTGAATGGCAGAAAGAATCGATGGAGTCTTTGTCAGGCCCATGCACTACTGCTGCAACACGGGCAATATCCACTCAAGCTCCGGATACAAGCCGATTCTACGAAAATAGACCCCAAAACTCCATTCCAAATCCAAGGCCCTCTTGGATCTTATGAACGCGCTAAACCCTAAACCCTAAACCCTCTTGGATCTCATGAACGTCTCTTGAACCTTTGTAACCTAAGCCCTAGGACCGAAGTCCCAACACCCTAAACTGGGCTGTGCTTTGGGATCATTTTTAATTTCCCTCATTTCCTTGTAAAGGGAACCTATTCATAAGTAATTGTCAATCGGTTTAAAGCACAACCCAGTAAATTAAAAGCTGACACCCGAAAACCTGAAGCCGTAAATTCCTAAGCCCAAAACCATACCTATAGTCTCACATTGTAGCTTCATTTTTTGGCGAACCATTTTTTATGGTTAGGATCCGATAATATAGATGTTGGTTAACCAAAACAAGGACTAGGACCTAGAGTAGGCCCTTATTCCCTGTTTCTGGGGTTCAGGTTCTCTTAAAAGCCCCTTTAAACCAAAAAGGGCACCCTTTTTCTTCCTAGGTTACTCTTGGGTCTAGAGGAACTACCATGGAGACTGTAGGTACCCACAGATCCTCCAACCACCGTCTCCTCAGCCTCCAGATAGCCGCTACTAAGGGCCCGAAGGCCTCCACTGAGGGAGCCCAAACCCCAAAACTTGTTAGGTTTAGGGGTTTTGGAGTTTAGGGTTTAGAGGTTTAGGGGTTTAGGAGTTTAGGGTTTAGAGGTTTAGGGTTTGGGGGTTTCGGGGTTTGGTGGTTTAGGGTTTAGGGGTGGGGGTTCCTGGAAAAGCCGTGGGGTGTGGTCTGGGTACACCTGTAGCTGGGTTCTTGCTAAGGAACGTAGTTTAGGTTACCACAATACTAGGGCCAAAGGCCAATAGGGAACCGTACTACATACTATCAGTGATTTCCTTATCATGGTATCTTTACTTAATCCGCTTACCAAGAACCCAGTTAGGGTGACATACCCTTTGCAAGGCCTCGCAACCCCAAACCTGCAAACCTGGAGTATGGAACGACAAGCATCCGGACCGGCGTCGCCCGCTTCTCGTTCAACCGCCGGGTTTCGTGGGTCGCGGTTTGGAAACCACCCTGGGCCTTGGAAACCTTACCTTTTGAACGACCTTTGTAAGGAAATCATGAAAAGGAGCCTGAAAAAGGTACCTGCACCCTGGAAACTTTGCCTTGTCAAGGATTCATAGAAGGAAATCGTAATCAGGAGCCCTAAGATCGTAGGTTATTTGGGGTGAGGGTAGGGCTTCAAGTGCAACACGTAAAGTCCGACTTTTCAGTCAGTCATGGGACAGCCCAGCCTGAACAACGACTCATAACTCCCAAACTCTATAAACCCTAAACCCTAAACCCTAAACCGTGCCCGAGACCTAAGACCCTACCAGAGACCGTAAGCCTTGAAATCCAGCAGATCCCCAGCCATAAACTAAATCATAAATCCTGCCCCTTATAATCCCGCAAATATCCTTTAGCCCGAGTAGAATCCTTATAGAAGCCGTATAAATTTCTTCACCCCAAACCGCGAAATATCCTTTAACCCGAATAGAATCCCTATAGAAGCCGTATAAGTTTCTTCACCCTATTTAAACCCCAAAATATCCTTTAACCCGAATAGAGTCCTATAGAAGCCGTATAGATTTCTTCACCCTACCCATAGGCTCCATAGTAGTTCTTTTTGGGGTTACCGATTTATAATTCTAAATTCTAAATATGAACCCCAAAAGAACTACTGTGGAGCCTCCCCCAAGGGTGCAAAGGACCCAATAGTTGGGTACTCGGTTTTAGGAGAGTAGTTATGTAGGTTAGGATTTCGGAGAGTATATGATTATTAGGTACTTGGACCCTTGGAGCGCCGACGCAGTTTTGTGCTTTGTACAGCGTTCCGAGGTAGTTTTAGGGAGACCCCTTTGTAAACCCCAAAACATCACCCTAAACCCTAAACCCTATAGATCCCCTTAAAGGTACCCTTCTAGATCCCTTTAAAGGAACTACTATGGAGCCTCTGGGTAAACCTACTAAATTACTAAAGAAATGAGGATCATCTCCATATAAGGTTTGAAGTTTGATAGAAGTCAAAATTACGCCTAAACCCTAAACCGAAAAAGGAACTACTATGGAGCCTTTGGGTAAACCCCCAAAATATCCTTTAATCCGAATAGAACCCCTATAGAACCCTAGGGGTCTAAGGACTCATATATTAGGGCTTTTGGGCCCGGGTGCCGTGCTATGTGGGGCTTCTGGGCTGTTTTGACCCCCTTTAAACCTCCAAAACTGATCCAAACGCCGAGGGTGAGGCGCTGGCGAAGCTGGACGCGAAGGCGCGCGAGGGCCGGGGGTCCGCATTTTCATAGGGGCTGATGGTACCTTTCAGGGGTTCCTGGGGGTTCCTTTAAGGGATCTATAGGGTTCATACAGGGTTGGAGGTTTAGGGTTTAGGGCTGATGATAGAAATCCTAGGGGTTCCTTTAAAAGGGGATCTATAAGGGTTCCTTTAAAGGGATCTATAAGGGTACCTGTAAGGGGATCTATAGGGTTTAGGGTTTATGATATCAATCCTGCATTACCTTAAGGACCCTAAACCATGGGAATTATGGGATATTCCTTATTATGGGTAATGCAGGATGTATATCATCAACCGTAGGAGGCCAAAAGGGCTCTAGCATATGGGGGTTCAGTAGGAATTAGGGTTCCCATAATAGGGGTCATATTAAGGAATCCCTACCTCAAGAATCTTAAACCCCCCCTCTTGGCCTCCCATCAACCGCATGTTTGGTTGAGGGTTGAGAGGCTGTTGCCAATTGGGCCGCAAACCTGCATGACATTCTGGAGAAGGAATAGGTTATGATGCCCGGTGTCCACCAGCTGCTAGAGACTAATCACTTCGAAGTGCCCTTTGCATGAACAGACTTCAACAGTGGCCCCTGCGCAACTTCTGGCTCTGAATTGCCAAGATGGGTACTTGGAGGTTCATGGGTAGTTATAAATGGGCTTATAAGTCCCCCAACATGGGTTATAAGTACAGTTACCCTACTACCCATGAACCTCCAAGTAGTATTGCATAGTTCCCTAAATTGGAGTCCCTGTTAAGGTCCTTTTCAAAAGGGTGCCCTACTATGTTCGGGACTAAAAAGGCCCATATAGGTGGTTGTCAACATTTTGGTCCCTTTATGGGTATCCTAAATACTAGGCGCGTATTGTAATAGGGACCTAAACAGGGACCATAATTTTGACAACCACCCATATCTTTTAGAAGGTCTTCATCAACCTAGTAGTAGAGTAGGTAACCTTGAAACTGTTTAACCTGTTTTGGGTAGTATAGTCCCCTATATAATCCCTGTAGAACCAAATAGGTTAACCTTTAGTTACCCATGATACCCGACAAGTAGATCAACATCCCCGGAACCTGAAACTGATCAAGGCCACACAGCCGCAACCACTTACTTCCCCAAAACGCGCCCAACAAAAACGTCAAACCCCTCTTATTCATACCCGAACCCTAAACCCAAACATTACACTCTATAATGATAGCCCTTTTGGAACCGAATAAACCGTACATGCCACATGAAACACCAAAGAAAACTTTCCAACAGGCCATAAACCCCAAACCCTAAAGCCCAAAAGTTCCATAAACCCCATAAGCCCTAGAAGCCCTTAAGATCCTAAACCCTGGACCCCTAAAATCCGAAACCCCTATAGAAACCCCTTAAATCCCAAACTGCACCCCTCGTTGTGTCCCTCAGTGCTCGGTCCAGGCCGAAGAGCCAGCGCCCGCTGAGAAGAAGGTTCCTCTACAGGGTTCTACCTTGGGCTACCAAAACCTACTTTTTGTTGGGTCCCTATAAGTTCCATATTTAGGTTTATAATCTGAACCTACAGAAAAGTAGGGTTTGGTAGGTTGAGGTAGGGTTTAGGGTTTAGGGTTCCTCTAGGGGTTCTTGTAAGGGTTTCCTTTCAGGCCTCCTGACAACGGTCTAGGACTTACCTTTCCCTTACGGGTTTAGGGTCGTTTTGAAGGGCTTTCTAGGGGTCCTCTAAAGGCTTCCTATAAAACAGGGGCTTAGATAATTACCAAAACTACTTTGGGAGCTCCTTTTTGTAATTATGGCGGGCTTCAGGTTTGAGGCTAGGATCGGGGTTTAGGATTAGGATCTGTTCGGGAGTTTATGTGGTCCTTCAGGTTTGGGGCTTTAGGGTTTAGAGTGTTTTGATTTTTGAATTGAGCAGGCCTTCAGAGTCCAAGGATTTTTGGGTTCTGGCGAATATTTGATGTGTGTGGTTTTTATGTGTGTGTGTGTTTTGTTTTTCTGGTGTTCCTCTGTAAAGGGCTTGTAGGTGTTGGGGAATTGGTTTCCGGACTCAGCGTTGCGGGGTTAACGCTCTGCGGGTCTTTGGGCTCAACCAAAGTGTATTGACAAGTTATCTGTATAATCGTAGAATGTAGGGTTTCCACATTTTTGGAATTTATGTTTAATTTATTTGGTTTCTACATTAGGAACTACTACGTTGATATGATCTCTGTAATAGAAACTACTATTATGATTTGAGAAAGTAACACCCAAAAAAAAGGTGGTCAGAGGTTTTACCACCATGCGCTGGGCTGGCAGGTTTTGGACTTCTTTAGCTTCTTCGTCAGACGCTTTCTGTCTCTCTCTCTCTCTCTCTCTCTCTGTCCTGTCTGTCTGCCTGTCTGTCTGTCGTTCTGTCTGTCGTCTGTCTGTCCGTCTGTCTGTTTGTCTGTCTGTCTGTCCGTCCGTCTCTCTCTCTCTCTCTCTCTCTCTCTCTCTCTCCCTTTCCCTCTCCCTCTCCCTCTCCCTCTTTCACACACACACACACACACGCACACACGCATTGCATACATAGCAAAGTAGTAACATGTGTGCGCATATTCTATTTGTGAATGTCTTAGCATACAGATACATACACATACGCACAGACACATGCACAAAAATATATCCATTTGACATTTACATATACATATACAGTCTTTTGCATGTACTCCTACATTTCCCCGTGTATATATATATATATATATATATATGCATGTGCATATGTAGATGCTTCCATACATGCATACATCCGTACATCTCTACATCTGTAAATGTCCACATGTATATGCATATAAGCGTATACATACATATATACATACACGTATACACATATGCAGATATGCACATATACATATATACATATATGTACACATATGTACACATATGTACGCATATGTACATACACATATACATGTACACATACACATACACATACACACACACATATACATATACATGTACATATACATATGCATATAAACACATATACGAAAACACGTACACACATATACGCATACACACATCTAAACATCTATACACATATACATATACACGTATACATGTATACATATGATCTGCATAAACATATACACATGCACATGCACGTGTGTGTATATATATATATATGTATATGTAGGCTTACCTTGGGTAGGAACATGTTTGGCACACGCAGCCCGTGCTTCAAACCGAGAGGGAACGGGCCGCACTGTTAGCCCTTGCTAAGCCAAGAACGGCAGATCCGAAGTTGCCAAGAATACACGGAGCCTTGAGCCTAAACCTAAACCCTAAACCCTAAACCCTGAACCCTAAACCCTATACCCTAAACTCTACAGCCTAAACCTTTACATCCCAAGCCCTGCTTGCAGCTTTAATGCTCCAGACCTTGTCTGTCGAACTTGAGCTTGAAGCTGCAACGGAAAACCTCGGGAATCACTGAACCGCTTTTTTGGAACCGCAAGCTACGTCGGAAACTTTCGACGTGGGTGCATATAGTATGATTCAAGAGCATCGCAATACGGTCCCTGTGTCTCATTTTATGTTGTACTATGGTTGACCCCGCAAAATGCCCCATGTGAAACACCCTCAACCCGAAGCCCTCAACACCCTATGCTGAATTACTGAAGCCGCTATACTGCTCCTTTTTCCCCTGGGACTCCACATAGCTCAAAGTAGGTACTATTTGCACACCTGGAGTAATATGGGTAGTGCTAAATCCTATAAGCCCTAATCCCTATATCCCTAAACCCTAATCCCTATCCCTAAACCCTAAACCCTAATCCCTCTCCCTTGTGGCACTTGCCCAGGAAACCGCCCCGGCAGATGAGAAGAAGGTCGAGGCTCCCTTTTGGGTACGAACTAGGGCTCAGTTTGTGGGGTTTAAGGCTTGGGGTTTAGGGTTTAGGGTTGGTTTAGTTTGGGTAGGATTCAGGGCCCAGTTGTGGGGTTTAAGGCTTGGGTGTTAGGTTTAGGGTTGGTTTAGTGCCTGGGTTTAGTCTTACCGTTTAGGGTTTCGGTAAAAGTAGTGCTCCAGGCTTTAGGGTTGAGGGGTTAGGGCTTTAAGGTCATTTTTTGTCGCAGGGGTTGAAAGGCTCACAAACCCATAATGGTCTTTAACGCCTGTGACATTCATGCTGGATCCTCAACTAAGTAGCTCAGTGGGTAACCTTTACTTTCTTGGGGTATATATAACCCTACCATAATTGAACATGGGCTAAGGTAGTCAGCTTCTCAGTCAACACTGAAACCTAATCCCTAAGCCCGTAAACCCTAAGCCCCTTAACCCCTATAAACCCTACGGGTAATGCTATATCCCAAAGGGACCAAGTACTATTGTAGTAGGCACTTAGTAGGCATATGGCCCCCAAAGTATATACTATACTACTACTTGGACCATTTGGGAACTTAGATCCCCAATACCGAACCTTTTAACTTTTTTGGGTTCTTATAGTTTAGTAGGAATCGGAAAGTTTAACCTTCTATTTCTGTGGCGTATTGGTGTAGTAAGATAGGGGCCTAAATACAATAATTACCTATACTATAGGGTTTAGGGTTCCTTTAAACGGGTTCTATAAGGGCTACTGTAAGGATTTAGCTCTTTTGGTGTTTGGGTAAGGGAACCCTCAACACTGAAACGCCGAACTCTAAGCCCAAAGTTCGAGGCCGGAGCTGCCGAGCTTTCGGAGGAGCTTAAGGCGCACTGCCACTCCAAAACCTCAGAGACTCCAATATCCCTTAATTAAGGAGTATACCTTAAATCATATTAGGGATCCCATCATGATTTAAGGTATATTCTTTAATTAAGGGATATTGGAGTCTCTGGGACCCCAATTCTGGGGAACCCATACCTGGATCCGCAAAAGTAGGTAAAATAATGGACCCAAAGCCTTTAAAAGGCCATTATTCTACATACTTTTGGGGTCCACGTAATGTCCAAGTAATCGCACAGTCTTTTGATTAGTAGATATTTGGGCACCCAAAAAGTATACTACACTATTACTTGGACCCTTTTGGGACTTAAACTTTGAGCATTTAGGTAGTGCAGGGGCCATTCCTGGATGTCTTTGGCGGTTATAGGGCTGTTGAGGTCTTGAAGCTTTTTTCGTATGAAGCTAGTTCCAGTCCGGACGAGTTGGTGAGGTTCCAAATTTGAGTTTGCAGGTTTTCGTCCAAGTTACGACGGCCTGAATTCCTCTAGGAACCCCAACTGCGAACTCCTAATACGGCATGTGGCAAGATAGCATGTGAATGGTAAAAACTATGTGCTCTGTGAGACAAGCCAAACCTAAGATGGCAATTGAAAAACCCAAGAACTCAGGTCCTGCATGCGTGTCGCAACTGCAAATAAGGAGGATGAAGGAAAGCGTTTGGAGAGACTGAATCGTTCTCCTGCTGACTGAGGCTGCAATCGCACAGCACTCTGGGTCAAAGGCCTAGTGGCCTAGTGTTTCGGGCTCAATTTTAGGGTTTAGGGCCTGTAGAAGACATCTCGACCTGGAATGCCTCCGCGGCTTCTCACCTAAACCCCAAACCCTATATAGAGCCCTTTAAGGAACCCTGCTTATCATCCCCACTTAATTTTAACTGCCCAAAGGCCCTTACACCCTAAACCCTATAAACCCTACTCAAACCCTAAACCCTAACCCCTAAACCCCAACCCCTTAAACCCAAAACCCCTAAACCCTAAACCGCTAAACCCCGAGCCCTTATGGATCCCTTTAAAGGAACCCCTATAGATCCCTTTAAGGAGCCCTATATAACCTCCGGAACCCTCGGATCACTTATGGGTCCCTTACAGGAACCCCTATAGATCCCTTTAAGGAACCCTAACCCCCGTTCAAGGCAAAGCTCCAAGAGTGCTTCGATGCCATCGACACGAACAAGCGCCTGGGATCTGAGGGTTCCTGTTTTTGGTTAACCAATTTTATGGTTAGGATCCTAGAACATAGATTTTAGGGTCCTCAATTCAACCTGAAGGACCAACTTAAAAGTAGGGGCCTTATACCCATATACGATGAACCCTTATATGGTATATGAACCTTAAACCTAGACCATTTTAGGTTTCATTTCGTCCTTAAGGAAGGAGGAAGGATGGGTTCTTTTATTCGGGTTACTTTAAAGGGGTCTATAAGGGTTACTATAAGGGATCTACAATTTAGGGTTTTGGGTTTAGGATTTCGGGTTTAGGGTTTAGAGCAGGGATCGCAGGAGTGACTTGCGACAGGTTTAGGGTTTAGAGACATTCTGCAAAGCAAAAATACTCATTGGAACTGGAGGTATGCTAGTTACTTACTAGGGCCACTACTGCCTCAGCCTGCCCCCTCCCACCCTGGCTTCCGCCCCCCCCTGCCAGCCCTTGCCGCCCGCCCTGGCCTCCCCTAAGCCCCCCTGGCCCCTGACCCCCTGCCCCGCCCCTTTGCGACCGGCCAGAAATGAAAGGAAAGGCACAGTGGGCCCTGTGGCCATAAAGCACCTACACTCTAATACCCTTCTAGGATGCCCAGTGGTACCCTTATTCCCTTTTTGTAGTTCTAGGTCCCTTATAAAGTTACCCAATACTGAAAAGGGAGCCCTTTATATTCCTAGGTTACTGGGCATCCTAGCCTTAAACCCTCTAGGGGAGCCCTTTGTACAACCATTGTAGACATCTTAAAGGAACTCTACATCCCGAAACCTCTCACTAAAACTTATACATTATACGACATACGATCTTTGAGGGAACCTCAACAGAACAATGTAAGCTGGGTTCTGGAGTGTCATGCTTCAGTGTTTTTCTTTGAAGCTGTTCCTCAAGGAAACCATTCATATGAACTAGAAATTGAAGTTTTATTCCTGGTTGCTTCAAAGCCTGGCACTCCAGAGTCCCCTAAACCCTTAACCCCAAACCCTAAGTCCTAAACCCTCAACCGAGCTCGAGGAATGGAAGCATTGAGGCCTCTGAGTTCAAGTCGGCACCTGGCCGGGCAATCTGCGAGCTGCATTTTGGGGGTTTAGGGTCAGGGTGTCGGGTGTGGGTGTCGGGTTTTCAGGGCTTCGGGTTTAGGGTTTCGGGGTTCAGGTTAGACGGGTTGAGGATTGAGTTTGCGGTTGTGGCTCTCTGTGGTGTGTCTGGTGCTACTGACCCGCTTTAGTCACTGTCGTCGTCCCAGCTGGGGTAGCAGGACGAGTAGTAGCAGTAGGATCGGCGTTTGCTGTAGGAACAGTAGGGTCCCGAGCCGTCGTTGTCATTGTCCTCTTCCTCCTCCTCCGGCAGTTTGTTGGCCAAGATGATGACAGCTAGGATGACAATGGTGACGGTTACGAGGGCGATGGGAAGCACACGCAGCTTTTGAGTGTTCGTGCTTAAACAATCAGGGTTCTGTGGTACATTGTCGACCCTCCGATGTAATCAAGTTCCAGTCTCCAAGCTGTGCTGTGGCATCAGCAGAGCGCGGATCAGGTGAAAACCAACCCGAAACCCTAAGCCTCAAACCCTATAAACCCTAAACCATTTAGGTTTACACTCGCAGACAAAGCAGATTTGATCCCCGTGAGACCGCAGACTTCGTGCGAAGTATCGCTCTTAACTAACCATTGATATTGGGGGAACTCAGGAGCCAGGGATGATGATAATCCCTAGTAAATAAGGAGCTACAGAGCCAAGGGAACCCCCAAAACCGCTGGTTAGTTAAGGTGATGAATAAACTGGCTGTGCCCCTGAACGACGACCAGATCGAAAAGGTCTTCACCTCGGTGGACCTCAACAAGGACTCGCTGCCAATATAGGGGCCTACATAATTACCAATACTATTTTGGGGGGCTCCCTATGGTAATTATAGTAAAATGGGCCCAAAGAGGGTTTAGATTTATACCGCCCGCAAGCCTCATGGGTCAGGCGTATGGCTGGGTAGAAGGTTTCGGGTGTGTGATCCTAAACCTTTCACCCCAAGTTTACTCGAAGATGCAGTCGGTGGGTTCTGGATGCTCGGTACAGGATGCCGAATTTCTTAGCTGTGTATTGAGTATGTATTTCCTTTTGGTGTGCACACTTACATCAATGTCGATTAGGGTTCAGGTTGACCCGCAGCCTGTTAACCAAAGGTAAACTTATATGTTTAGGGCTTATAAGCCTTACTCCAAACCCCAAAAACCCCAAAACTCAAAACCCCAAAACCTAAAACTCTGAAACCCATCCCTAAACCCGAAACCCTCAACGTCAACCCCCCAAACCCCGCACCCGATCTAGCTTTGAGAACTCCCTGACATGGGCTGCATACACTCTGCGCAGGATAAGAAGTTGAGCTTCGATGAGTACGTCAAGCTGGTGAGTTGTGGCTTGAACATCTGAGGCCCGCAACTCCTACCTTTGGCCAGTAGGGAATGGACGAATGGTAGTAATAGTATTTATAATTGTACCCCATTCCCCCATTCCCTACTAATCAAAGGTAAGAACTAGGGTTTGGGTGTTACGGGATTCCGGGCTTTCCTAGATATTCCTTGAGGCTTAAACGCTATAAACCCCGAACCTTGATGCGCCTTAATGTTGAGTTAGGAAGCGTACTTGGAGGTTTATAAGTAGAGCTATAAGTAGGGTAACTTTGCTTATGACCCATATTAGAGGACATATAAACCCACTTATAACTACCCCTGAACCTCCAAGTAACTTAATCTTTTCCATTATCTTAACTTCTACTGTAATATTCCATAAAATTCCGCAAACCCTCGGCGAATTGAAAGTCACGGCCCTCTATGGGGTCTGGTTTATTCGGCATCGTGCCGTTGTTTTTGCACAGTCCATGGAGTAAGCCCCTGGCCTATGGAGTTGTTTTTTGTGTTTCCCAAGGTAATGCAATCCTGTTTTGTATGAACCAGTACTCTACGATTCGGGTATTCAACATGGATTGATAGTGAGAAGGCTGTGTACTCGTCAGATGCTAAGTAAACTGCTGGTTTCACTGCAATGAGGACACAGAGAGAGAGAGAGAGAGAGAGAGAGAGAGAGAGAGAGAGAGAGAGAGAGAGAGTGCGAGAGAGAGAGGGAGGGAGAGTGCGAGAGAGAGAGGGAGGAGAGTGAGAGAGAGAGAGAGAGAGAGAGAGAGAGAAAGAGGAAGAGAGAGAGAGAGAGAGAGAGAGAGAGAGAGCGAGACGGAGCAGAACGAGAGCCACATCATCCTGGCATGGAGCCCTGAACGTGCATGAAAAGCTCCAGAAGAAAATGGAAGAGCGCACAACATGATATTGAGTCTATTGGTTCGAGCTGCAGGAAACCGTTCAGCAGCAAGTCTCAAGTCCGTAATATGTCGAACCCTAAACCCTAAACCCTAATCTGGGGCCTTAACATTTAGAACAGGTTTTTTTCAAGGGGCCCTAAAAGGGGTCTATAGGAGATCTACAGTAGGGTTCTATAGTGGGGGCCTTCATCATTAGAATAGGGTTTTGGGGTATATTACAATAATACTATATGCATCATAAGGAACCCCCCAATGTAATTGTAATAATTAAGGCGCTTATACCCTAAAACCCGAAAAGTCCTGGACCGCTTATGGTAACCCTTATGGGTCCTACGTGTAATCCTTATAGGAACCCTTTAAGGCCTCTATGGTAGCTGCTACCAAAATCCACTGGCGATCTAGCCTAAGGCTCCATGTACCCATATAGTATATACTTTAGGCCTTAAAGTATCTATACAGGGACCTCTTTAAGGCTTAACTATCTACCATAAAGGTACATGGAGCCTTTGGGCTAGCCGTGGCTCATGGGAGTTTCCGAAAATTAGGGGTACCTTAGATTGGGGTCTTTATCATAAGGATCCTACTATTTAGGCTACTTTATTCGGGTCCCCTATTTTCGGAAACTCCCTCATCCTGCCTGCCAAAGGGCCGAGGGCCTTGGATCTACAGAGACTCTACGGACTTAGTCTCATACCCCAAGTGTCCAAAGTACCTGTGTAGTAGAATGTAGAGTTTCTATATTTGGAATGACTATGATGATTTGGGGAGTTATCCCCCATACCAGTACCTAGGACCCAACAATCTTATATGGTAACCTATCTTTATGGTAGCCTATAGGATTTGGGGTTTAAGGTTTCTGGCAACCCGTATAGGAACCTTGATAGTATCCTTTTCTGGTAACCCTTTTGCCGGAACTCTCACCCGAAGCCCTGTAACCAGGTTAGTTTAGGTTTAAGTTTGTTGTCGTTTGGGGCTGCGGGCTGTTCATAGTGGCGCAGTGCGGTTGAGGATTCGCTTCGCGTCGGTATGTACCGAACAAGGCGATTTTGTTGAGCAGGTTTCGGTTGCATTCAGCATGTCGGGAATTAGAGCATTACAGGCCAGTGATTTATGATCCAGTGTCGTTTTTTTAGGGTGGTTGAGGGTTTGCGTACAGGGTTCAAGGTCAGTTTCAGCAGGTTTCAGCTAGCATCTAACAGCTTAACATGGGGAGCATATTTGCCCTAAACCCTAAACCCCTAGACCCCTCAACCATAGACCCTAAACCCAAAACCCTAAACCCCTACAAAAACCCTAAACCCCTAAACCCTAAACCATCGTTGCCAGGAGATTCTTGCTCTGAATCGCACTGCGCCGACGTCTCGCGTGCGGCTCACCGACTTGCCCCAGGAAGTTCGGCATCCTAAACCCCAGCTACTGAATTACCTATACTAAGGGGCTCCTTACAACAAATATAGTACGTATAATGCACAAAACCCTATTCTACTTATTAAGGCCCCTATATCATAGAATCGTACTATAGATCCCCTTTAGACCCCTTTAAGGGTTTAAGAAAACCCTATTCTAGCTATTACGGCTCCTGTATGAGTCGATACTCAGCCGCTTCAACAGGGCTGAGAGGAGAACACGATTGGGAACTGTTGATTAGCAACATGCACTTGGTAGAACATCTACACCTCCCCGGGGTCAGGGCATATACAGAATCCGAAGAGGGATGCTATGGAGGCTATCCCCCCCCCCCCCGGCGCTTCCAAGCATTGTGCCAGGGCGTAGCAAGGCCTGATTATGATACATGGGTTTAGACGGGCTTTCGCGTGGCTTGACAAGGGTTCAGCAACTATGAGTCCCAACTCCGTATAGGCTTATGGATTTAGGGCTTGGGGTTTGGGGGTGTGCATATCACAGGGTCAGGGCGTATGGCTTAAGGTTTTTGGCTTATAGGGCTAGGGCTCAAGTGCTGAGCTTTGAGTCCTAATGCCCGAACCGTCACGGCCTGGCAGCTTTCAGGCATTGGGGTTCACACCTATCCACGGGTAAAAGGAGGGACCCTTAATCAGGACCCCTAGGTATATACCCTTAATATAGCCATTATATACCCAGTATATAGCCCATTATAGGCTAGGGGTCCCCATTAAGAGTCCCCCCTTTTCCCCTTAGAAACTAGACTTAGGAGACTTCATGAGAGCCAGCTTGGTATCCGGCAGCCCCTTTTCCTTTTGTTCTTCGTGGAGGAGAAGTGTGTGTTGTCGATTTCAAGCGGCTATTGGTGGCTTGAAGCCCCTCCAGTTTCCTAAACTTCAAGCCTTAGTTTCCTTATCAGCAAGCCTCAGATCAAGTACTGACAAAGATGCCGGACACGTTAAACCCCAAGGCCAGGAGCTAACCTTAGCCCAAGAAACTTAAGCCCGACCTTTTCATTGCAGCAGCCTCGTCGGTCCCTTGCGGTGTGAGCTGCGCAGCTCTGGGCAACAAATGCCTTGAACTCCTGCTCCTGCCAGCTGGCATAGCCTTGAACTGTAGACTTTTGAACCCGCCGTCAGGGTTTCGGGTTTTGGGTTGGAGGTTTAGGGCAAGCCCCGAGTCCCGATAGACTGGATGAGCGGCCAGATGCACGGAAAGCTGTTCTCCTGAAGCGGAAAAGTCGTCTAGCAACTTACCCAGGGTCATAGCGAGTCATACCCTGCTCCATGTTCAGGGTACCTAGCTTTTTGGTTTGGATCTTGTATGTAGAAAAGTAGGTGCCCCAAACATGGGGTAGGGTATGATCCTGCAGGTAAGGCTCAGGCTGATGTAAGAATACATCCAACGAAACGTGCTTGGTGGGAGCTGGTTTCTTTACTGCTCTTAGGCATTATGTTTTATTGCTTATAATATAATATAGCTGAAGGGGGTTAGTAAGAACAGGGTGGTTGTCAATATTAAGGTCCCTTTTGGGGTCCTTTTTATAATACGGCACCTAATATTTAGGGTACCCGAAAAGGGACTATAATTCTGACAGCCACCCAACAGTATTTTTATTCTAGTTCCAAGGGCGGCTAGGGTTTGATGAACCTGTGAAACTCAGTGCAGGCAGGCCTTGTACAGTGGGGTTTCTGCGAAGATCATCGGAACACATCCATTATATTCCGGGCACCACCAAGCACCACATCTGAGTCCTTCTGGGGCCTTCCGAAGAGTCAGTGTGTGCACAATAAGAATCCCTTTCAAGACTCAGAACCAATTCATCTTCAACCCAGCTGGGCTTCAGGGCTTCGGGTTGATCTTCTAGGGTTCGGTCTTTGTCAACTTAGGGTTTGGAGCCCACCACCCTAAACCTTAGCACTGAACTAAACTGAAAAAAATTCAACCCCAAGGCTTAAACTAACCCGGCTCCATAAACCTACACCCTAAACCCGAAACCCTAAACCCTATACAAAACCCTAAACCCTGAACCCTAATTAAACCCTGAGCCCGAAACCGTGGCTCCGTTCGAGCCTTCCGGGCTGCTTGGGGCTCCATTCTCTTCTTCGGCGGGTTCCACCGCGTGCCCAGTTCAAAGATGCTGCAGGAACGCCTTGCTACCACCCGGGCCGTCGTAAATGCTCATTATTATTACTATTTTATTATTATCAAGTTATTTATATTTTCATTATTATTAGCACTATTTTATATTAAATACTCCTATGATACATAAGCATGGAAAAGTGTTTATATACACGCATATGTAGTTACTTATATCTACTTATGACTATGTGTAGACCCCCGACTGAAAAGGCGTCGATAACTCAGCTTCGGTTCTAGATGCTGTGTTCTGTTAAGCTGCTGATCACCCCTCATAAAAGCAAGGGAGCAACAAGACCTGGAATGGAGACTACAGGAAGGGCAGACCCTAAACCTGAGGTGCCAAAGCCTAAACCGTTGTTCAGTTCTTGTTTGCCTTTTCGTCTCTTGACCTAAATGATCACAAATTAAGCAGATCCCTGCTCCCTCTCCCAGCGAATAAGTATGCACTTTTTGGCACTTGTCCGCTCTTTGAGCAGGGATGGCTCCGGTGGTGGCTAGAGTGATGCTCTTGTTGCAGGGCCTGGGGGGTTAGTGCGATGTCAAAAGAGCCTTATGAATTAGAGAGCCGTCGGGC